TTCTTTTTCTTTTTCTTTTTCTTTCTTTCTTTCTTTCTTTCTTTCTTTCTCTCTCTCTCTTTCTTTCTTTCTTTCTTTCTTTCTTTCTTTCTCTCTCTCTCTTTCTTTCTTTCTTTCTTTCTTTCTTTCTTTCTCTCTTTCTTTCTTTCTTTCTTTCGCTTTCTATCTTCCCTTCTTCCTTTCTTCCTTTCTTCCTTTCTCCCTTTCTCCCTTTCTTTCTCTCTTCCTTTCTCTCTTTCTCTCTCTTTCTCTCTCTCTTTTTCCCTCTTTCTTTCTCTCTCTCCTTTCTTATATTTTCCGAGGTCTAATTTGATCACATCACAAAACACAGGGGAAAAGCAGTTTTGGAACCATTTTGCATGTGCCATGAAAATGCCCCTTCTTCCACAGCGTGGCTGTGAATGCCCTTCTCTCTCATTGACTAAAGACCCTGTGTACCTTGCAGGATCACTTGCATTCAAAAACCTGTCCTTTCAAATTTGTTTAGGTAAAGTGCAGAATGCAGATGATTCCCAGAATAACTCCTCTGGCTTCATTTGGAACGACAGCAAAAACAAATCTGGACTTAGCTTCTCATCTCAATGGAAGGGCATAGAGGAGCAGTGAGAACCTGTCATTGTTCGTAAAGGACAACGTTACATGAGAGAGAGAGCGAGCACAGGAGAGAGGCAGAGAGAAAGAGCCTTTTCCTCTCTGCTAAATAAGGGCCATGTTGAGGTGTGTGAGGACAGCGGGGGTCAGCGAGTGCTGGAAGTGACTCTGAACTTCTGGCAGAACAATCTCCTGGAACTAAACCCAAGAATACCTTTATGTTCAGCAACCTGCAGGGAGATGTTCCACAGCCAGCTTTCTCCACGAGAGCCAGGTTACAGTGTCTGTACGTGACAGCAACTGAAGCAAAAGCTTTTGTCTTTTAAAACAGAGTAGCTCACACGCAGCACAGTGGACTCGAGCCTGATATTTAATATCAGACGCCGAGCAAGAATCCATTTGTAACAGAGGAGCCATAAACCATGAGATTATTTGCCACATAACAGGGAGATGGTGGGTGCAGATGTTCAAACACCATGTCTAATTAGAACAGGAACAGATATGTTACAGGAATTAGAATTCCTTCAGTGAGGGTCTAGCTCTGCACACTGGTCTGTTTAAACTACCAGATACTTTGTGTGTCTGAGCCACTTTTCAGCCATGAACCCAAGTGTTTGGCAGACACTCCTGCAGCCTCAGTGCTTCCCTGTCTTAGGAAGGGAGTAAAGACTATGGTCCTGATTTGTCAGAGGGGTGGTTTCACTGAACTTCCACTTGCCTGCACACACAGTCAGTGTCAGGACTAGAAATAAAGTCCAGGAGTCCTGGTTCTCAGTCCTCTCCCATCAGCCATGTTCTCCTGAGCTTGCTTTACCTGCATATCAGGGATTTTGTAGGCAACTACAGAGACAGAGAACAGATTGCCCCCAAATGGGGTCCTTAATCACTCAACTTTTATCACTGGGAGACAGTAGCTTCCCTCCCTACCTCCTTGAAAAGCTTTTAAAATAAACACAGGTACATTAGAACAACAGTCCTTCAAAAAGGGTCCCTTCCTCCCCCTTACCTTCCTTGCTCTCCTGTCATTAAGCAGAGCAAAGCCATCCTTACATGTGACATTTGGACAGATTGACTTAAGCTATTTACTTTAGGCTTTTTTCCCCCCTCCCATTCAGGATCACTTTCATTCATTTTTCAAGTGTCTCAAAATGTCTTTTGCTAAATCCATAGATCAGGTGATTCAGAATGAAGCAATGCCATTCTGATAAAAGCACAACCCCGAAGCTTCCCTACTCCTCCCATAGTCCCTTTCTGCTTACTCTTTAATTCTCTAATTAACTCACTAATTCTGCTGACAAAAGGAAAAATACACCAGCAGTGGCAAAGGAAATCTCACCTTTAAATGCCAATTTTCTTTTCTTCCCACAGAGCCTACCTTGCTGGTTAAACTGTTGAGTAATTGTATTCTGGGCTCAGAGTCAGTGGGTCAGATTCTGCTCTGAATTACATCAATAAAAACAACCACTCCAGGGCAACCTTTCATAAATATGCCTGCTTTTAAACCAGTGTGCTCTCCTGCTTGAGGATGCCTTCCTAAACCAAATCCTAACCCAGAATTACCACATTAATGTCAGTGGGACTGACGGGTGACAGAGTTCAGACTCTGAACTCCATCACAAGGCTTTTCTCTCTCTCCCCGCAGCAGAAAAGCAACGAGCAGTTTGAACACAACCCTCCTGACTCACATTCTCTGCTCAGCAGAAGTCCAGGAGCTTTGCTGGGTAGGTTGAAGGTGCAGTGGCATAGATGTGTGTCTGAAGTGAGGATGTGCCATGCTGTGGATCCTGTTGGGGCAAGGGCTGAACAAAGATCTGCATAATACCCTCTTATCATGAGCTTTGCCAAGCCACTCTCACTATCAGACACTTTTTTTTCCTCTCATTGTTCATCTTTCTTGCTTGATGGCAACTGGAAGGTATTGGATATTTCCTCTAGTTCTGTATTAACTCCTCCTGAGGAAAATGTGGTGTAAGTCCCCTCTTTTGAGAACACACAAAAGGAAGGGCAGAGGGAAAGAATTAGGGATGCAGGATCTGTTGAGTGACACCAAGTGATGTTCATGGTACAGAATGGTCACATTGTTGGGTAACTGGAACTGAAGTTTGTGGTCCTCTTGAGACAGTAGCTCACTGTAAAGTTAAGTCTTTCTCTGTGCATATAGAGTTTGAATTAGGGGAAATGCTCAAAATATATAAACAGGAACTAGTCTTGCAGAGAAGATAAGCTTTGGAGTGAGGGGGCTGTCTCTTCCAGTGTGTATTTAGTGTCTACTGCAGTGGGGACTAATGTCATGTTGGGCCTCTGGATGCTGGGCCTCCCTCAGTGTGTGTACTGCTGTAATACACAGAACTACTTCCTTCCATTGACTGCCTTTCTGTGGCATTGTTTTGTGTGATTGACTCCCTTTTTCATCCAGAGGCCAAAGAGTGATTATTGGAGATTGCCAGCTCCAGACCTGAATTGTTTTATTCAGGAAGTTAATTAAAATCAACCCACCTCTTTAGAAAACCTTCTCGAATACAGTCTGGATGCTCCTTTCATCTCAGTGTTACTACTTCTTTCCTTTTTTTCTTTTTTTTTTTTAATCAGAGCTCCTTAAATCATGGAAATAACTTGGCAAAGGAGCTGTATTACAAGAAAAATCAGTTAGGAACGTAGGTAAAGGCACATAATAGGTCTTTAGAGGAGAGGAATGAATTTAATTGAGTGAAAGCTCAGAAAACCCAAAAGTAAACTCAGGGTCATCAGCATGCTTCTTTCACTTATCCCTCAGTTGCACTTCATAGATCCAGGCTTCCTTTTGCTCTGCTGTTATCACACTTTCCTTTTGCTGTGATTTATTAACTGTGGAACTGTCAAATTATGAAACTGAGGTTCTAGAAATACTTATTAATGTTTGAGAAATTCATTTCACACTTGAATACTTTTTCTAACACTTACTAATGTCCCTCATTTTGGTCATGTGGGTCTACAGGGCAAGAAAACAAGGTATCTTATTATATATTTAGCATGTGGAGATGAAGGATGAAAAAAATGTCTTTTAAAACCCCCTCAAACATTGCAGCAACCCTATGCCTTTGGTCCTTGTGCTGCTGGATGTGGTGACTGTGTGTGTGTGCATAAGCAGGGCAATGTCTGTACATTCAGTGACACCATTCCAGCTCCCTTTCAGTCACTATTAAGAAAGCACTTCTAATCCCCTCTGAGAAGCTCGAACATAAAATTCCTTTCATGCCAGTTTTGTCTTCCTCAGTTTGGCAAACACTGACCTTCCCCCTGTGATTCCAATGGAACTTGTAATTCAAAAGGCATTTCTGTTTATTATTACCCTGTTAGTGCACAGGAATCATCAGGGATGCCAGGACTGCTCAGGCAACAAGGTTACTCTCTGAGCTCTCTGTTGCAGTTTTGTAGTGCAAACAAAAATACAGCAGGCCAGAGATAAATGATGATTACTCACTATTTAATCAGAATAACGAACCTAAAATAATTATCGAATAATTACTTGCCTCGAGATCCTTGGGAGTAAGTTTGCCACATTTATTCCCCACACAAAGTTTTCTGATGGAAATTTGTTTAAAAAGTAGAAAGGAAGACCACCAAAAATGTCAAAGTTTATGAATTTGCTCTCACAGGACTGGAACGTTTCTACTTCTTGACACTCAGTTTTGAAACTTGTTACGTTACACCAGTATCAAATTCAACAGTTCTAAACTGGTACAGTCTTACTCAAAAGGAGGTTTTCCTTCGAAATATAATTTTGCACAGAATACTGAGCTCTGTGTTTCCAATCAGCATAGATGAAGTCAAGTTTAGTGTTTGACCTAATCTGCTCAAAGTAGTCCTATCACCCTGCATGCTCAGAGGGACATCATCTGATAGGAAATGGCCGCAATACCTCCAGCTTTCCTAAAACACTGACGGTTTCAACCGTTTCTTAAGAAATACTCACTGGGGACTGCAGATGCTTCTGCTTTCAAACACAGCCATCTTCTTCAGCTCAAATGGGTGACTCCTTTCAGCTAAAGCAGTGACACCTCTGGTGTAACACTGAAGTCACCCAAAGGAAGGAGAGACCACCAGATGTTTTTCCTTGACATCCCTCAGCACAGTGCTCTCCTCCCTCTGCTCCCTCACTGGTACCATCCATGATTTTTAGATGACCACAACATCTTTCCTTCAGGCAGGTATTTCATGCCAGCACTGGGAACATTGTTTTTTTTCAAAGGAAACGCCAGGAACCATTTCTGGTTTTTCACATTTGGTAAACTACTCCTCATGTAAACTGAGTGCAGCAGAGGTGCCTTCTCCAATGCACAGGTGTCCACTGCACACTCAAAACACCAGGAGGGGAAAAAAGAAACCCCTTTGGCACAAGTAACATGGAAGACATCATTTATTTTTCTTACCTACAACGAGAGGTCTGAATTCTGGTCTTGTTTAACCCAGCACAGAAGCCAATGATGGGCTGGGCTGGAGTGTTTGCTCTGCTGTCTCTTCTGTTTAAGCTGAGGAGAAGACAAAACGTTAATACAACAGTGAATCCTCCCTGAGGCCCAGCCCCGATCACAGCTCTGCCCCTCAGTGCCCATGTTTTCCAACCTGCCAATATATAAGTGCTTAATTTTAGGATGTAGGAAAATGCTCATGTGTGACTGCAACCCCCCTAAATTCTGTACACACAAATTCAGCAGATTGTTCGGATTGTTTGAAAGTTTGTCTTTGAACATCTCCTCTGTTGCTCTTTCTTTGCTACTGCCCTTCAACTTTTGTGTCTGTAGGCTTGAAGTGCCATGTGGAAGAGCCCCTTTTACATCAGCTGAAACTACTAAATCTTCCTTAAACTGTACACATGGGTCACTATTCACTCTGGAAATTGCTCTGCCCTTGATAAATGCAACTTAATTTTTGTGTGAAACAAATGTTGAAATATCTCCGTGAACAGTTTTAAACTTGACAGGTCAGTTCTATAAATCATTTATTTGTTTTAATGTTACTTAGCATCCCTGAATCTAAAAGTATTTCATACAGATGTTTCCCTGACCATTTCAGTGATGATTTAGCTCATTGTTAATGCTTCCATTTCACAGAGGCACAAACTGAAATGCAGGTATCTGAGAAGTGCTATTGTTTTTAGGAGGGTTCAGCATTGGCTTCTGATTTCTAGGACTCACTTTGCTGAGGGCTCAGCTCTTCTAAAAAAAGCTGTCTACAAGGATCAGAAAGAAACTATTAAATTGCCTGACACCTATTAATCTACTCCTCTTTTAGGTCCGTAGCTGTGAACTGAGCTCATTGAAATAAAATCTCTCATACTTGTGAGATCATGTATTAGAAAATCAGTCCTGGTGTGCCCAAAAAGTTGGCCCCACATTACATTATTTCCTTACACAAATAGTAATAAAATACTTCTTTTTTTTTTTTTTTTCCCCCAGAAGATATTTTATTTTAGGGAAATGCAACAGGAAAGAACAAAAGCAAAATTCCCATTTGTGAAAGCACAGCATGTGCAACTTCACTATAACAGGCAGCAAAAGGTCTAAGAGTAGAAAAAGGACTACTGAGACCTGCACACAGAGTTTCTTATAAATTAGCTCAGAAAACCAAAGGTAGAGCACTGTGTGCTAAGGGAGGCTCGGATCATAAAATATTTTTAAAGTCCTTTAGCAATATTAAAATTCTGCTCAGCAACAACTATTGTAATACAATTTTTCCCTCTCCTTGCTCAAGAATCAATTGTGCAGCCATTCCCTTTGTTAAAAAGATTCAAAACTCTAAAAAAAAAAAAAAAAAAAGGATTTAGTTGAGTTCTCACCCTGGAAAAATGAGCGAAAGTGCTTAATCCATCGGCGTTGGTGCACAAAGTGCATTTGTTGTGCTGCTGGATGTAACACGAGCTGAACCAGGGCAGGAGAGCGAAAGCTTTGCAGCCCCTGATGGATTTCAGATTTATTAGACACTGGAATGTTTTTTTTCCCCCCTTGTCTATAAGAACATGGTGTGTAAGATGATAAAGGGCAGGAATAAAGGGAGCAGACATTGTAGCCCTTAAAATTAAAACAACTGTTTCTAGATTTTCCAAGTGTCAATGTATGAAAAACCAGCCTAAATAGAAGTGTTGCATTATTCAGTGTGCTTTCCTCCTGGAAAGAAAAACATTTTGCAGCCACTGACAAAGCTATGGACATGTGACTAATACTACTTTTATTTTCCTATATGGAGAAAAAACCCATCACAAAGCCTAAATGGAATATTTATGCTGTAAGATAATACACTCATACCTGTAAATTATGAGTGCAAGCTGTAATAATTCATCTTTAGTTTCATTACTCATGCACTATGGAGCTTTCAAGATTAGGGATAGATTTGTTATGCCACTACACTCCAGTATGTGTTTTCCCTTTCTTAACCCTCTCCCTCTTCTCTGGCTCACACATCCTGTACAGTAGGAGCAAATTTCTTTGCACCAACACATACAGGCTGCATAAGCTGCCCAGAACTGGCATCATTTTCAAAGGACATATTAATGATCCATTTTATGATGTTAACCAGGCTGAAAAAAAAAATTAGCTCAGCGTATAGGGATATGATTTCAAATAAATTTGGGAGGAAAGTTTCCTATTCTGAGAAGAGCTCCGAGATGTAACATTAATAAAAAGCTCTTGTAGTCTAATGTTACAGGGTAGTTCTCTTGAGCTTCCAGGATGGGAACCACAGTGGTCTGCTTGTGGCAGCAGTAGTTTTGTTCCAGTATCTATATGCTGCTTTGTGAAAGGGAATAGCAAAAATCTGGAATGAATTGCTTCAATGATTAGATTTCCCATGAAAATATAAACAACACAACTATTCACTGAAAGAGAACTTATGTTTAATATATAAGCAGAGGAATAAACAAGCTCTGTTCTTCTATTTTTGACTCTGTCTGTATTTTAAGTGTCTGAAAGCAAAGACAAGGCCAAGGAGACAGTTTGGGCCAGTGTTCTGAGCACTCCAGGCTCTGCTGGGGTCTGCTATTGAGTTATTGTGTAATCTTGGGTGAGTCATTTAAATTCTTTATGCTCTGATTTCACCACTCTGTAAAATAGGTGTAATCCTCCCCCATTTACCTCAGACAGCAAAAATATCTATAAAACATCTTAGATGACACGTTATGTTCAGGCAAATTTTCCTTCAGTAAAAAATTCTCTGTGTGAGCTGTATTTGTCCACAGATCTTTTTGTCCTGCAAATCTCTGCCCACAGACACACACACACAGAGTCGTGTCAGTGCTGTCTGAAAAATGAGATGAACATGCCTTTACCATGAAATCAAAACCATCATTCTGCTCCTATAACTGCAGAAATTGCACTAACTATCAAACTTTTAAGTCTTTTCAAAGACCAAATCTTGCTTGTCCTAATCAAGTGAGAAGTCCCAGTAAGAATCAGTAGGATACTTCAAGCCATTAAAGAAAGCAGGATCTGGCCTCTTGTAGAGCATTGAGGTAAAACAGACACAGTGCTGCAGTTTGCATTGGACAGTTCTCAATTAGAATGTCAAGATTTATGGTGTATTTTATCCGGTTTTCATTCTCTGCTGTTCAGTTTAACTTTTGACCTACGGTTATTGGCAGAAGAGGGCTTGTCCCAGAGGGCCATTAGCCCCTTCCAAAGAGGCATTCTAAGAAGTGCCAAAAAAGAGGGTGGGAAACAGGTCTCTTTGTAACAGGACCCCTCCTCCTTCTCTGAAATGCTCACACAATCGATGTGATAGTCAGGGTACAAGAAAACAGGAGATCCTTAGGATTTTTCTGCACTAAGTATTTCAGGTCTTGCATTATTCCTCTTCTGTCCTGCCCTGACAAGAGATTGGATGGAAGCAAATCTTGTAGAAAGGGTCAACACCAGTTGTGCCCAAAAATCTGCATGGACTCAGAGTAAAAGAAAATGGAGGTTATAAATACAGGGCACCTGTGCAGAGTAAGGTATGGCATCCAGGTGTTCTCCAGAGGATTGGAGTTCATAGAGCTCCCAGCCAATATGGCACACAACACCCTTACAATATATGGTAGAAGAGTTGCTGATACATCCTTGAATTTGGTTTAAAAAAATGCTTGGAAATAAATAGATTTATCCAGGTGTGATAGCCCTGCCCAGTGCATTCCCTACAAAAAAAGGAGAGGATGGCTGTGCTGAAAGGGAGCCTGCTGGCATGTAACTGGCATGATTTCTCAAGTCAAAACCTTTAGACTGATAAAAATATCAAACAGGATCAATGATCTTGTGCTGGTGGCACAAATTAAGGGTAGCGCTGTAAATGTGGAGGGCCGGAGTATTCCAGGGGAAGGCCTGTATGATCCTGGCCATTACAGCATTAGGAAAAGAATGAAATGCAATAGGATGAGAAGTCAGGCTGTGCAGTTTGAGATTAATAAGAGCGATGCTCCGTGGTGAGCAAGACGCTCCTCAGATGGAGACGTCCCCACAGCATCGAGGTTCTCCAAGGGCCTTCCCACGGACACGGGGGGGACAAAAATAACCCAGCTCGCTTTAGGATAGCGCCCTTCATTTGCAAAAGGGATTATATAACTTGCTTGCCTCTAACAACAGAGGACTAGTTTGATGAACCAGAAGGCCCCTTCCAGTCCTATTGTTCCTGTTATTCCCAAAGTTAAATTAACACCAACCTTGCCTGGAAACGTCGTTCCTGCACCTGTGGAGAGGGAGTTTGCCCTGGAGCTCCCACGACGAGATGTCTCTGTAAATGGGAATTGAAAACTCTGTAAATGGGAATAGAAGAGATGCCAGGTATGTAATTTAAAAAAAAAAAAAAAAGTAATAGATCTAAATCCTCCTGATTTGGGAGGCAGAAAGGCTCATAAGGACACAATGTGCTACAGGAGACCAGCCTTAAATTCCCCTCAGGAGCAGCTCACAGCCTGTGGCACAGCATCTGCCCGCTCAAAGGGCACCCACTGTCCTCTGCCACCCTGAAGCAATTGGGGCAGAAACACTCAGCTTGGGAAAGTGACTTTTCTCTAGACAGGCTCCCACCTCTTTCCCTCAGGCCTTCCTTCTCACAGCCGTCCCTGCCTGTCAGGACGACAGGGCCTCCATACCCCACAGACTTCACCTCACACAAATCCCGGGCCTGGGAGCAATCTCTCCCCCTGTATCATACATATATATGTGCTTTAATATGGAATATGTGACAGGAGGTGAAATTCAGCTGTGCAGGGCTGCCGGTAGGTTGTGAGGGGCAGGGCAGGGCCCCTGACTGGTTCCACCGCCATGTTGGCTGCTGAGGGGAGCCGGCCTTGCCCTGGCAGGTGCTGTGAGGGCACCTCTGCCCCCTCAGGGCAACAAAGCTGGTTAAAGTGATACCAAAGTGGGGTAACACAGCCCAGGGTCTGTGGGGTGGTGGCACTGCCTCTGGATCTCTCTTCAGGATACAAATTTAGGTGTAAAGATGCTCAAATCGAGTAACAAAATGGAGGCAAAGCTGTGGCAGTGACTGCCTGAAAGCGGGTGGAGCTATCAGAGCACACAGCCCAGAGCAAAGCAGGGTAAGTGAAGTAACAGCTATTTAAAACGTGTGAGAATAGAAATTGCCCCTCCCTGACTCCCCAACCCTGTGGAGCAGAGGAGAGGAACAGGCCCTCAGTCTGGCAGGGTGAACACCAGCACCTCACATTTAGTGAGCGTCCCTTGTGCTGCCCTGTCACTCTCACTGCTGCTCCTGAAGGTGGGACTGCACGGTGGAGATGGTGTTTTAGCATGTGTGACATCTTTTCCTGGAAGACTATGATTAGAGAACCTTTAGAAACAGTCAGGGAACCTTTGGAAATTACTGCAGCTGGCATCTGGGTTTCAGGGCAGCGCTGGGACAGGTTCAAGCTGCAGGGCAGGAGGCAGGAGCAGGATAGGGATGCTATGGATGTACCCACCCCTCCATCTTCTGTCACCTCCACAGCAGAGCAGTAGCAATTTGGAAGGGGGCTGTGGCAAAGACAGAGGTGTCTGCCAGGTGACATGTCCCTGGAAGGGAGCTGTGCAGGGAATAAGCCAAGGACACTTTCCTCCTGGGAGGAGCTGCCCCAGCCACCAGAAGGTGCCAGCCCCCAGCTTTCTGTTCCAATTCCCAGCGTGGTTTAGCAGTGCAACAATTTGCTCACAAGACACAGAGCGGAGCCCACCTACTCATTCCTCTGCGCAGCCACGAGACGATAATGACTTTCAGTCAATGGCGTGGCTTTGAACAGATGCCTGGAGGTGAAAGGATCTGTATTCCATTACTAGCCCCTTCGACTAGCCAGGGTCCCCCAGGTTAAATATTTTTAGCAACAGCTTGTTTACATGTCAAACTTGTCAATGAGCTTCTGGGGCACTGCTGCCACAAAGCTGTGTTGGTGGCAGCCCGTAAGCTTTCTCTATGCACCGAGCTAATGCCTTCTAAAGGGCTTGTCAGATATATTCTTCCCACTGTGTCACAAGAGCAAGACTAATTTCAAAGAAATGCTCTTTATTTCTACTTAAAACTGCTAAGGAAAATATCCAGCACTGTCTTTTTTCTTGTCATCTGTTCGACAAGTGTCTCATAAAACAAATTGAGAGGTTTAAATCTCCGAGACAAAAATCAATAAGAGGATAAGTAAAGAATAGGAGGAAGTCAGCAGGCTGAGATTTATTTCATTGGAAATGTTTTTTCAGTGGATTTACTAATAAATCTAAAGTGGCTGGTGCAGCTGCCTTTGATATGCAGTATCCCCTTTACTTAGATGGAAGCTGCACATGAAAAGGAGCTTTGAATACTGATTTTTACAAGGGTGTAAATCAGCAAAGCCCCACACGTTACATATACCACCAGCATCTGGTTCAGGTAGAAGTTAAGAAAAAGGATTTGTTTGTGTGCCAGAGTTTTCCTCTGTAGTTTTGCCATTTTTTGTTTAATATATTGCAGTAGTTGTGATCAGGGCCTTGCTGTGCTGGACACTGAACAATCTGATGTAATAGAATAATTTCTGTCCCAAACAGTTTATAGAGCTTCAAGGCTAAGAAACTCCATTGAAATAACAAATATGGGCTGATCAGCAGTGAAATCACAGGGAATGATGTTTGTGATGGTGGAACAAAGCTGTGGCATCTCTTGAAAATCTGCTCCAATGAGCACTTCCCTTGTGGTGAGGTGAAACTGGGAAAAATTTAAATTAAATGGATGATTTGAAACAGATTTACAGATAAAGAAAACGAAATAAACTCCTGAAACAGTCAGGAGAAGGTCGGCATGGGCTGACTACCAGTCATTTTTAGGTTGATCCCACAGCTGGCCTTTGTTCCAGGAGGAAGGGATGTTCTCCTGAGCGACAACAATAATGGCTATGACTGAAATGGATGCACTTTGATGTGGGCATGTAGCAATGGAAAAGGACTGCCCCCCAGTCCAGAATGCCCTCCCTGCTGCACATCCCCCCAGACTGTGAGCTTTTCCAAAGGCCCTGTGGATGAAGAGGAAGCTATAATGAGCTCCTTGTTGAGTAATAGGAGTGGTTTGCTCCAGTTGGCACACATGACAGATGGCTGTGGGTAGGGAGCGAGTGGCTGGGGTCTGTGTGTGTACATATGTGCTAGGAGGGGTTCCAGGATGGTTCCGTGGCTCACTATTCTATTTCCAATTAAACAAATAGTCCTGGATGCTTTTACAATGTCAGATGGGAAATCAGCCAGAAACCAGCTGATATCTTATTGTTCCTTGTTCTTCAATCGATTCTGCGTCTTTCAAAAGATTTCTCTGCACCAAACATGTATCAGAACATGGTTAAGCTCCGTTGTTCCAGCTCACAAATTTGATGTCAGGAAGAAATGTCGGAAGTGAGAGTAAATCAACAGAAATGGCCATTTTCATCCCCTTATATGGTTTTTCTCAAGTCAACATGAGAAACATTTCACAGCTAACTGTGAAAACTGGCACCTCATTACCTACTTTATTATTTCTTATGACTTATTAAGGGTTATTATCATTGTTCATTATCCTTTTTGATAGTGCATACCCTGGCTATCCTATCGTGTTATTACTGGGTAGTAGTAGCAGACTCTTACATTTAGGTCACTTAAACAGCTTGTATTTAAAGATTCCTATGGATATTAGTCTGAAGGGTGCAACCAGTACTGTGATTTGAAAATGGAAAGAGGGAAAATGTGGAATGCAAACTGTGTGGTTATGTGCTAAATGACTGTGTCACAGAGCCATGCTCACTGTGGGGCTGAACTGAGCTTGCATGATCCACCTAAAGTCTGTAATTTCCATCATTTTCAAGCACCTCACATTGGAATCAAGGTAACCTCGCATTAACACAGTGGTTTTTAGTGCAGCCATGTATATATATGTTATACAAACTCACACACATGTATACAAACATTGTGGAAAGTCAGACAACCTTCATAGTAGACAATGCTGCCACTGTTTTCCATAACACACAAAGACACACACTTAAATCTTCGTAATTGAAACAGGGATAATGCATTCCCTGTGTCACAGAGCTTTAAGGATATATTACATGGTGACTTATGGGTTTCACCATAAATTGTTAAATGTCATGAAGTGATGGCCATAATTCATACAACCCCTAACTCTATACCAGGCATTCCAAGAGGGCAGTACAGTTCTGCAACACGGGCAGGTGTGATCCCCATCTCTCTGAGGAAGGTGCAGAGAACTGACAAAATCCACATTGTGTATCAGCAGTACAGCTAAAAACAGAACCCAAGCTTTGAGTATCAGCTTTGGCCAAAACCTGCCCAGCAGTGTGGCATGACAGGGACTGGCCAGACCTTAGTTTGACTTCCAAGTCAAGAGCGGGACCCTTCACGTTCTGGCAGTAAAGCAGTACCACAGAATCACAGAATCACAGAATCACAGAATCACAGAACGTGCTGAGTTGGAAGGGGCCCACAAGGATCATGGAGTCCAACCCTTATGCAAGAACACCTCTGCCTTTTCAGATTCCCTGGAATCTCTGCAGAGGGAGAACGTTGCACGCTGTGCTCCCACCTCACCACATCATCTCCACGCCACAACGCCCTGTCTGGGTTTTCACTCAAAATCCACCACCCGTGTCCTGACCCTTTTCCATCTCTCACAAGATCAAAGTCCCAAGAACTTGAAAGACACACAGTGACATGATTTATCCTCAGGGGAGCATGATGGCTTCTGAAATTTCCTTCTCCCCTGGATGCCACACTGTCCCCCTGCCCATAAGATGGAAATACTGATTTTGTCTCTGATCTGGCTTGTGTAAATATATGTGAGAGAATAGCTAATGTCATTGCACAGGGACACAGAGGAAGAAGTTGCAGAGAAGAAGGGGATATTAACTCTTCCACTCTTTTAGATTTCCAGGCTGCAGTGTAATCCTACAAAATTAAACAATATGATCAGGATTTCCCCTTTTCCTCGTGACCTGACTTTTTAAAGCTAGGGCTAAGAACTGCAGCACATTTCCCAAAGCAAAACACGATCCTGGATAAAAGTCAGTTTAGTTGAGAGAAAAAAGTAAAACAAAAATAGATCTTTTCCATAAACAAAGCTGCTTTCCATTTTGCTAACATAAACAGGCAGATGCATTAAGAGATCATGCCACCCAAGCCCTGGAAAAAGAAGCAGGAAAATATATTTCTGAGTATTTTCCTGAAGGTGCAAGGATGGCTGAGCCTAAGGCAAACAGAGCAGAGGGACAAGGCTTTATAAACAGGGCAGTTTTACAGTTTCACCTGAGATTCAGAAGAACTATCCTTCCATATTTAGGTCAAAAGCAACATCCTCTCCTTCCTAAATGAAATCTCTGCTTATAGTAGGAACCTGTGCATGTGGTATGCCTTCAGTCACCCTAAATTTTCACAGACATATAGGTTTTTGCAGTAGTCTCTATGACTGTGCAAACAGAATTTCAGGTCTATGGGCATGGATGTGGAAAACTGGATGAGGCAAAAAAAGCCTTTCAGAAATTTAAGTCTCACCTTTGCAGACTGAGAGGCTACAGGTAAGGGCTGTGTGAATGAAACCTCCTCCCCCAAGGGACCAGGGGATAAAACAAGAGAAATAAGAAATGATTGGTGTCCTAATGAGGGGCTGGATTTGCTGACAACCCAGCTGAAGTCAAGTAGCTGGGATGG